GCCTTCCTCCACGAAAACCCCCCCATCCGCAAACGTGGCGGTGTTACTAGACTCCAGCATTGAACCTGAGTTGAACAACTCTTGTTATTGCGTGCTTCTCGGAAACGCAATTTGCTACTGTGATCAATACCTCAACGCCGCCACCGCCTTCGACGACTTTGTCGATTCTTCCATCATTGACCCGCCGTTCATAGCAAGCGTTACGCCAGCCACGGCGGCGACACTTTTGCCAGAATGGAGCTCACCGCTGGCACCTGGTGTCCTGGAATTCCCATCCGACCCCCCCTCGTACCCTTCAGTCACCCCGAGTCCAACAATGAGCCACCACCCTGCTGTCTTCTTCGGCATGCACCTCGGCGACTTCGACAACGCCACCACTACCAGCGATGAGGGCAGCAGCAGCTGCAGCTGGGACACGCCGGCGACGATGGCGACCGGCCTGGAACAACGATTTGCTTGCCGTTGGGACGAATGCGGCAAGAGCTTCCCGCGACCTAGCGATCTCACGTGAATACCCCTTTTCTTGATGTATTTCTCCTTTGTCATTCTCTTGGTCTCCGACTTTTTCCATACCGTTACCTGCATTGCATCGTCAAGATGCAACCCCATACTTCACTTTCAACTCTCCTCCACACGTGAGAAGAAGCGACAGCCTGTCTATCCGCTTTTATTTACATGACCTTCAAGATTTGTTGTCCTTCCATTTTCTAGCCTCCCTTGGCACGAGTCTGAATTAGCCCGACTAACACGCGGAAAAGCAAGCACGAGCGGTACCACATCAAGGACTACCACTGTGACGAAGTCGACTGTTGCAAGGCCTTTGCGACGCACAAGGACCTGAAGCGCCACAAGAAGACGCACGAGAAGCTGGATGGCGGCGCGGCGGCGCAAGGCTACCGTTGTCGCGTGCCCGGATGCCGAAAGGCCAAGACGGGCCACGTGTACAATCGTCGCGACAACTTTACGCGACACCTGCGAACGAAGCATGCAGAACTGAACTTTGACGTCAAGGAACTAGGGAGTGGCTGATGATTTGACGAGTCTCCTCTTCTTCCTGATGCGTCTTTCTTTTTTCTTTTTCCCCCATCTTTGTTTATTGTTCTCTTTTGGTATGATAGACTTTGATACCAGGACTGAAGCTCCGCGTGAGCCGGGAAGGACCTTTTTCCATTGGTTTTCCTCTTCTTTATTTGCACTTTGGATGTATCGAGATGGACATTATAGATGGATACACTACGGGACGCACTCACGTGGCGACGGGAAACGAAGTAGCGTTGAGTACTGTTGAGAATTGCTCGTCATGACGCTGTCTACACTCATCAATATAATGGTTGACTAACCACGTGTGAATGTCTCAAATGGTGCCAATTTCTGTATGATGACTTCGAATGGAAGGACCATCATGTCGGCGGTGTTCTCGCTTGGCCTTAGCCGGGAATATGTCCAGTTCTTCCATGTGTTAGGTAAGCTGCAGAGAGTGTTGCTACATTCGTAGGTAGGATCGTGAAGCTTGCTTGAACACGGGCTGCTAGCAGCCCATCAGGTAGAGAGTCTAAACTTCAAAGACATTTACCGCGTCGATTTGATATGTACGCATCCGCATCAGTCCGATTGTCCAACGTTGAATATCAACCGCAGTGACTGTGCTCGGGTGCTCGGGCGCTCGGGATGCCGCCTCATAGGGCGATGACGTTACAGAGGGGCTCGCTAGTCGCTGCTCAGGCACATGCAGGGACGTGGAATGACCCCGCTGCTCCTGGCTAAGCTACAGGTCGCTAACAGGTTGATGTTGAGACCCAACTCCGCCCCGCGATCGTCATCTTCTTGCGTCTTCCCTAAAACATCACCACGTCCATCCGACACAACCACAGCTGGCATCTCACTATGGCGTCGGCATTCCTCCGAAGCAAGCAGACAGGCATGCAAAATGACCTGTCTGCTGCTATCTTGCCCGACCATTTTGCTCCCGACGAACAAGCACGATACGGCATCAACTCCCAGATCAGGTGAGCCGGCCCTTCGACGCGCGTCCTTGCAGAACCAACTGCCCTTCCCCAAGAACACCCCAAAACATCCCGAGATTACGCTGACGACTCCTGCACTGCAGCTGCTTCGCGTACGAACCCATTCAGTCCCTCCTCGCCATTGCTACAAACGAGTCACAATTCGGCCCCGGAAAGATCTTTGTCTTCGGCCACACGCGCGTCTCCAAGACGCTTGAACCGCCAAGACGCACATCCTTCCGAGCCCTCCGCTTCACCGCCAACCGACTCATTGCCCTCGATGCCAAGAATGACCTGACCATCTGGGACCTTGATTCGGGTGAACGTGTCGCCGGGCAAGTCATCTCCGGCAACGTCGTCGCCCTTGTCACCGACCCCATGCTCGACTGGGCCTTCCTGGGGCTAGCGACTGGCGAAGTGCTGGCTTACGACCTCGACCGCGAGAGGATCTCCAACTCTTTCCGCTTGCCCAATTTTTGGCGCGAGCATGACCCGAGCGCCAGAGCCGTCGGCCTTGTCCGTCTGGCCCTGCACCCCACCGACATTGGCAAGCTCCTCATCGGTTACACGACTGGTGCTGTCATCTACTCCTTCAAGCAGAACATGCCGACCAAGTTCTTTGAGTATGTGCTACAGCCTGGCGCTCCAGGCGGAGGCGGTGGAGCTATCAACTCGGTCCGCAAGCCGCGGTTGACGGACGCTCTGTGGCACCCGTCAGGCACTTTTGTGTTGACAGCCCATGATGACGGGAGCATGGCCTTTTGGGACCCCAAGGACGGCAGGCTTCTGACGGCACGGACGCTTGAGCACCTCAAGGTTGATGAGGTTGCGAGCGGTAGCACGCCCGCCACCTTTCATGAAACGTACGCGCGCATTGCTTGGTGCTGCAAGCAGAACCCCGACGACACGGGCTTATTGATCGCAGGCGGCCAGCCCCCTGACGCCCCGGAAAAGGGGTTGACCTTCATCGACCTCGGCCCTACGCCGGCGTATGCCACAGCGTCGTGGCAGGTCTTGCAGGATCACTTCAAGGGTAGACGCCAGACGGTCCTTGCCACCCCGCCTGGCGCCGAGGTCATCGACTTTCTGCTCTTCCCCCGCTCCTCTCCGCACTATGCCGGCTCACATGACCCAATCGCCATCATGAGTCTCCTGACCTCGGGTGAACTCATCACCATGAGCTTCCCATCCGGTTATCCAATCACGCCGACGAATCAACTCCATCCCTCCGTGTCTCTGGTCCACCCCTATGTTTCCCGCTTCGCCGTGCAGACTGTAGACCGCGGCCGCTGGCTCGGCATGACCGAGATCCGCAACCAAGGCGAGCCGTTACTCAAAGGTGGTGCCGAGGCGACGAAGCCATCGCGGAAGTATCAGGACCGCACCATTCTGCAGGTGGCGCACGGCGATGGCACCGTCAGGCTCTGGGACTCGGGCCACGGCGATGAGATTGAGAACCCAAAGGTGCTCCAGGTTGACGTGGCACGAGCCCTCGAGCGCGACAGCAACGTCGATGTCACAGTCATGAACATGGCCCCCAACACGGGCGAGTTCGCCGTCGGAACGAAGACGGGCGAGGTCGTCATCTACCGGTGGGGCGTCAATAGAGGCCACGGAAAAGACCAGCAGCAGAAGGTGGCCTCCAACCCGGGCGGTCTCACGGACATCGCCGCAAGGGCGGAACCGCCGCTGAAGGAGGGACTGCAACCTATGAGCCTCTACGAGATGATGCAGGGCCCCATCACAGCACTGTGTGTCTCTGACGTCGGCTTTGTCGCCGCTGGCTCCGAGAATGGCTTCTTCAGCATCATTGACTTGCGGGGCCCCTCGATCATATTCCATGCTTCCATGGCTGAGTTTGCGAAGCACGAAAAGCGATCTTCATTCCTCAAGAGCTCTCACAGTACGACTGGACCTAAGGAGTGGCCTGTAGCGATTGAGTTCGGCGTGATGACGCTTGAAGGCGACAACTACTCGAGCATTTGTTGCTTCATGGGCACGAACCTAGGCCGCGTCGCAACTTTCAAGCTTCTACCGGCCAACAGCGGCTACACGGCGCAACTGGCTGGTCTTCAACACTTCGACGGCAAAGTCGTCGCACTGTGTCCGATTGTAGCTGAGACCGGAAAGCCTGCACTGGCAACGGGCGCTGTTGTTGCTGGCTTGCGCAGCGGTCAGCAGGTCAACGGCATGCTCGTGGCTGGTAAGTCAACCCTGACACCGGATGTCTGGCGCTGCTAACCACTGGAAT